CTTCTAGTATAATTCCTTAATTAAGTATAATTCACACAGTAATCATTAGTGTAGGACAAATTTTATTGTGTCAAATGATGATCTGTCATATCTCAAATAGGCGAAGATAGATACCAAATGCATGTAATTGGATTAGAGTATTTATTGCAAATGGTAATTTAGAAATAAGGTATAAAAAACAATAAATGACAAAATCTATTATTTTTTATAACTATATATAAATGCGAAATGCAGAATACGTAGATTTAATTCACAACGGTTTGAAGCGCCAAGGAAACATAGTGCACGACGACACGGAAAACGACACTCTTGATGATAAAGTCGGTACTATTAAAGACATTATTATTATCCAATTATTAATTTGTAATTAAACATTTTTCATCATTGATTAAATTAATTTTTTATTTACCGAAAAAAAAAAAGTAGGGGTCGATATCAGATGAGAAGATAAGGGAACTAGTGGAGTCGACGCGGTCAATGCTGCAAAATATGGAGGACGGAGAGATAAGCATATCGCCATACGACACAGCATGGGTGGCGCTGGTGGAGGATATTGGCGGCAGCGGCCAGCCGCAGTTTCCGGCGAGCCTCGATTGGATTTCGAATAATCAGCTGGACGATGGGTCGTGGGGCGATAGCAAAACCTTTTTGGCTCACGACAGGATAATTAACACGTTAGCATGTGTAATTGCCTTAACATCATGGAAAATGCACCCGGAGAAATGCAATAGAGGTTCATGAATTGAATTTTGTCGCGATGAAATATTAATGTCGCGACACTGATTTGAATTGAACACGCATTATTATTATTAATTTTTTTTTTTTTTTGGGTGCAGGGATTTTATTTATGAAAGAGAATATATACAAGCTTGAGGATGAAAACGAGGAGCACATGCCTATAGGGTTCGAAATGGCATTGCCTTCACTCATTGAGATCGCCAAAAATCTCGGCATCGATATCCCACATGATTCCCCGGCCTTGCAAGAGATTTATGCCAAAAGAGATTTAAAGCTCACAAGGTAGACGAAAGAGGCGGCCGCTTAAGATCCAGCCAATTTTTTTTGTTGGTTTTTAGGGTCCAAACAAATTTTTAATTAACTAAATTTATAATATATTTTTTGAGTCCCCTTTTAGATAAATCTTACTAAAATAATTATTATTCTAGAATATTTTTTTAAAAACCCAAAATCTTATTATTACTTTAAAAAAATCCAAAATCAAAAATCTTATTAAAAAAAATGTAAAATTTCCAAAATTTTCTAGATTCGCGCTTCCTCTTTGTTTTTTTATCTTTGTTAGGATCCAAATCTCTAAAACCCGAATTTTCTAATGCGTATTGACGAAGAAGAATTATTTTATGAACTAAGAGTAATGAGAGAAATTTTGCTGATGAAAGAAGTGACGATGACAATCGAAGTTTTAAACTACTTGAAAACGATGGATATTTTAGTTTTCTAAAGGCTTTCTACTTATAGAATATATTGTAAACATATAACATATACCATCTACAATTGCTTCTACATAAATACATTATATATATATATATATATATATATATATATATATATATATATATATATATATAATTGCTATTTGAAAATAAAAATGAGTTGGTATCAATGAAATAGGATACCAAAGGACATAATGCACAAAGTGCACACAACATTACTCCATAGCTTGGAAGGGATGAAAGGACTTAACTGGGAAAAGCTATTAAAGTTACAATCTGCCGATGGATCGTTTCTTTTCTCTCCGTCGTCCACTGCATTTTCTCTACAGCAAACGAAGGATCAAAATTGCCTTCAATACTTGCTTAACCAAGTCCGAAGATTCAACGGCGGAGGTAAAATATATCAAGTTTTCTTAATTCTTTTACGTGATAATAATGGAAACATTTTCCGTCCAAAGATTCAACAATTTAACACTTTCGGTCATTTCCGTCAATTTACCACTAGTTCGTCAGTTAAGAAAGTGATGTGCACATAATTAATTCTGTTAGTTTTAACTGATAACCGACGGAGATGACCAAAAACATTAAACTTTTGAAACATGAGGGACTAAATTTATTTTTTTGTGAACAAGGAGGACCATATGTGAAATCTATGTAAACGGAACGTACTAGAAGTGTATTTTTCCATGTTTATAGTTAACTAGGATTTCATTTGAACTCTCATAATTAGTTCTCATCTTGATTCATATCCTCGTGATGATATAGTTCCGAATGTGTACCCGGTGGACTTGTTTGAACATCTATGGGCAGTAGACCGGTTGCAAAGGCTAGGAATTTCTCGATATTTTCAGTCCGAAATTGAAGATTGTGTCGATTATGCACACAAGTAAGCAAACCATTATTATTTAGTAGGATGGGTTTTTTTTTTTTTTTAATTTAAATGTCCCATATTTACATTAGGCAATTTAATTAGTTATTAAAATTTGTGAAAAATATAATTTCAGAAACTGGACAAATAAAGGAATATGCTGGGCAAGAAATTCCGAGGTTCAAGACATCGACGACACTGCAATGGGATTCCGGCTTTTGAGGCAGCATGGTTACCACGTTTCCGCAGGTACATTATATATATATAATCAAATCGGGGCTATATTACAGTGGCGGAGCGAGCATAGTGTACGGGGGGCCCTGACCCCAACATTTCTCAAATCCTTATTATTTCGTATATAATTTTTTTTTAAATTGTGTACAGTAGCATTATTAGCCACCCCTCAAAAAACATTTAACGCATTCGGCCCGCACAGATTTAAAATTCTGGCTCCGCTAGTGGCTATATATACAATAGAGAATTAAAAATAAAAACAACCGTATATTCGAATGTTATTGTGACCATATGTTTATTGGGACTCGACAGATGTGTTCAAACAATTCGAGAATGGGGGAGAATTCTTTTGCTTCGCGGGGCAGTCGAACCAGGCTGTCACCGGAATGTACAACCTTTATCGGGCTTCTCAGGTTATGTTTCCGGCAGAAAACATACTTGCTAATGCTAAAACATTTTCCGCAAAATTCTTACAAGCAAAGAGAGCTAATAATGAGCTTCTAGACAAATGGATTATCACGAAAGACCTTCCTGGAGAGGTACGCGTCATATATATAATTCGTAATATTACGTATTAAATTGATGTAAATATATAGAAAGATAACGAGAAATAAAAAAAAATAACAGGTGGGATATGCGCTAGATGTTCCATGGTACGCGAACCTACCTCGAGTCGAAGCCCGATTTTTCTTGGAACAATACGGAGGCGAAAACGATGTTTGGATCGGCAAAACCTTATATAGGTTTTTATTTAATTTTTATACACACGTACTCGTAATTAATTGTTTTTTTCTATTTCTCGAAAAATCTAATATTGTTTATGCATGAAAATCTATTCAGAATGCCATATGTGAATAACAACACATACCTTGAGTTAGCAACAATAGACTTCAACAATTGCCAGGCTCTCCATCAGCAAGAATGGAAAACCATTCAAAAGTAATTAATTACACACAAAAAACATTTAAACTTTTTTACCTATTATTTTTCACATTTAAATATGTACCATAATTCGATCGATATATTTTTTATTTGGGGTGTGTGTGTGTGTCACATGCATAAATGGATGGCAGATGGTATAGAAATTGCAGTCTTGGGGAGTTTGGTGTGAGTGAGAGAAACCTTCTCATATCTTACTTCATAGCCTCAGCAAGTGTTTTCGAGCCGGAAAAATCAAACCAACGCATCGCTTGGGCTAAAACCGTCATTTTATTGGACACAATTAAATCGCAACAACGTTCCACAGAACAAAAACGTGAGTTTGTTGACGAATTCAAACATGGGAGCATCCTCAAATTCGCAAATGGAGGAAGGTATTATGTCGAAAAATATTTCATTCTGAAAATAGAATCGAAAACAAATATTATATATATAGATGATTCTAAAAATGGATATCAACAGGTATAAAACAAGAAAGAGCCTGATAGGGACACTGATCAGAACTGTGAGTCAAATCTCCATGGACACACTATTGGCGCATGGCATCGACATCCATCAGCAATTGTATCGTGTGGTAATTACTCCAAATAATTACGTATTAATTTGAAGTTTAAGTACTAAATATTCATAAACAATAATATTTATATATGTATATAAATGTGCAGTGGCTAAAGTGGCTGAAGATATGGGAAGAAAAAGAAGAAGCTGATATTGGGCACGCCGAGCTGCTCGTCACCACATTGAATTTGAGCAGCATTGGATTAGAATTCGATGAATTATTAATTTCTCATCCGAAATACCAACAGCTCTTAGAGATCACTAGCAGAGTTTGTCACCATCTTCGCCTATTTCAAAGCCGAAAGGTTAGTTAGAAAAAAAGAAAAAAAAGATCTTTTCAAAGTTTTCGAGAATATTTTCATCGATTTTTTGTCAGCTGTTATTTTACGAACATTTATTATAATGTGACCAGGTGCAGGATGACAAAGGGTGTATGACTGATATGGGAGGCGTTACAAGTACCGAAATCGAGTCGGAGATGCAAGAGCTTGTGGAATTAGTGCTTACGAAATCTTCTGGAGATTTAGAATCTCAGCTTAAGCAGAATTTTCTTGTGATTGCTAAAAGCTATTACTATACTGCGTATTGTAATCCTGGAACTATCAACTTCCACATAGCTAAAGTACTGTTCGAAAGAGTGGTCGTTTAAATGAAAAACTGTACAAAGCACGGATTATTTATCGATCGATGTGGACTTATTCTCTAGTATTGATTTTAGTAAGAATCTCTTGGATTTGTATACAGTTTCAATTAAGACAAAAACAAAGAGCATAATCAGGAACAGTTGCTGCCCGTTTAGTCGATTCGTCAAGAGAACTAATTGATCATTTTAGTTGCTTTTTTTCCGAATAATTCTATCACGCCAACATGGAATCTCGGCAGCCTTTGATACAACAATCGAGACTTTTCATCAATCACGTTTATGAATGAAAATCCCATCAAATGTGATCTTAATATACCAATCTCAAACTTGTCCATCTTATTGAGATTAATACCAAAATTAGAGTACGAATAAATCGAAACATTATTTATGCAGAATAACCAAAAAATACATTGTTTCCAAGACACCAGATTACAAAATAACCAAAATTGTATATGTTTCCAAGACAAGAATTACAAACCCCGAACAAAAAATTGCATATCTTCAAATTACACGACACACAGACAAGCAGTGAGCACAGAAGTCTTTGGGCCGCAGTACCTCAGTAAGCAAATCTGCAACCATGAAATCTGTATCAAGATATATATGTTCACTAGGAACAATATTTATATGTTTTAACTTTCTCGACTCTCGAGCGCTCATATTTGTCAGGAAGATATAACAATTGACTTATTTTCAAAGTATAAAAGGTCCATTCTTATAACAAAACTTAGCTGCTATATCTATCCCATATTTAGATGCCTCAAAACACGATATAAGCTGGTTACCACACTGAAATGGCTTCGAGTGTCTACTCAGGCTTTATATGAAAACTCATCAAACTATAAGGTAACAAAGGGCCAAGTGTCGATATTGTATAGTATGTCAGTATCTAACATAATACCAAAAACACAAAAGAAAAGAAAAAAATTAAATAAAATTAAAATGATCACAAATGGTCCTAATTCGATAAGTGGGGCATAATATATCCTTTTATTCTATATAAAGACTTTATAAACCTTTTGGTTGGTTTCTAATGATCCATTTACACAAGAAACTCAGATTTTTCTTTAAGCACGATAATTATAAATCAGGGAGCAGAAATAAGAGTCGATAGTTATCGAAAGAGAGATGCATTCCATATTATCCCGACGCTTAAAATAGCTGATCCGCTCTAATAACATGCTTGATAACAGAATATTTGTTTGGATTAAGAAAATCAAACCTAATCATATTCCAGTTCATCTGGAGTAACTGGCCGTTTGAGAGGAATAACAGACTTCTTCTCCACATCCCTTGATAAAGCCTTCCTCATATCTGAAAGGGAAGAATATAGATAAGACACGGATGAAAGATGTAGCTACAGATCCAAATAAAATAAAATAAAATAAAAAATAAAAAGTCAACTTTCTCAGAGTCATATACGGCTACTCACCCAACCCATCCTCCTCTCCGGAGTAATATCGAAGTACGCGTCTATAAACTATATAGCCAAGCTGAAAAAAAAAAGGAATTATTTGTCTATATTTGAATATGAATAACACCAGCATAATCTCAAGATGTGAAGCAAAAGCAACGAAAAAAGTATTTTTAGTACCTTCTCATACATCTTGATGGCAGGTATATTTGAAGCTCTCACAAACAGATCCACAAAGTAAGCTTTGTCACTTCAAAAAGTAAGCTGGCTTCAGTTAGATATAGCTCATCGAGCAACTCTAAGAAATGATACATACATATATATATATATACATATATATATATATATATATATTGTTATCAGATCTAAATTTGAAGTATTTAGAACTGAAAATCACATAGAAGTAGTGATGAAGAAAGCAACAATTATTGGAAAAACTTATTATAGTTAAGTAATAGGGAATGTGATTTTTGTAGGGAAATTATCAATTATGATAGCTCGATTTGTGGTGCATTTTCTTTCTTTTCCTTTTACTGACAATGCTATGCTATCTGTGAACCAGAGTAGCCCAGGTCTACATGTTAATATCCCACTAACGAAAATATCATCGAACCTTGGTGATTCCCTAAATGGCAATACTTGCTTGTACTCACTTTAGAGTGAAAAGGAAAAAAAGATCAACAATTAGCTATTCTAGTAAAATGGGAGTTGTTACATCAATCAACTGTCATGTCTGTGTGGATCGAAAGTACCCTTAGATTTATCTAGAAAGTCGGTCGGAAATAAATGATATAGGGGTCATATTTTTATCTATGTGCAAATCAATCAAAATAAAAGACATGTACACCTAATTAAGGACAAGCAGAAAAGACAAACACCACTTCAATATGCAAGAATTTGCATGCTCCACTTTCAAAATGATTGTTTGACACACTCTTCTAGGCCCTCAGAAATAACAACGGACTAAAAAATGAGAGACATGGACAAAAATGCCCGAACGATTCATTCCTGATCGAAATATAGTTTTAACTCATGAAAGTACCTTCCGTATTTGTGACACTGAGTAAGATTAGGTAACCAACAAAATAGAGAGAAGGCAAAGGGGAAACGGCAAAACAATAAAGAAAAGGTAACAAAGAAGAGCAATTAAAGGATTTTAGAAATTGTAAATAAGCGCATATGAAAACTATAGGCACTTACATCTTGTCACTAATGTCCTCAAGTAGGTGCATCAGTTTCTTGGCCAATTGTTGCCTTCGATATTCAGGAGCCACAGTTACTGCTGTTACATGACCATGCCACGACTCTCCTTGTCCTTCAACCTTTCCCATTACTGTAAACACGTACAAACATATTCACATGTTAAAGAACCAAAATATCATCCATAAATATCATCAAACTCTTCGTTTATATATTAGTTTGTAGATTGCCTTTACTGATGACATGGATAATAACAGGCTTGGTATCCATTCACATTTCTTGCAGCTTTTGCAATCGAATAGACAACTAATAAATACCAGCTACTGCACGTAGGTATGATAAATAAACAACCATTCCTCTGTCCTTTCATTTCAATTTATATTTACAGGATGTGTGATAGTTGTCAAGTGCTCATAACAATTTGTGTGAAACAAATTTAAGATACATTCTAAGGAAAATTCTAGTCGAACTAATTCCAATTACTAACTTACCGCTCTCCCCCTTTAGCATACTGACCTCCAAACTTTACCCAACTGCACGGTTATAAGAAAACTATGCTCCACAATAAATAGCAGCAAACAGTCAGAGTTCCACAGCAACATCGCATTTAGAAACTATATACATAGAAGATCAAATTTGCTCCAATCCTTCACTGAAGAATCTTTTAATATGCCTAGATAGAATCTTGATTCCATTAGTGTACCAATAACATGATTCTAGTAGAACATCTCAAGCTCGTATCGACCCAACATGGAATAGAAAGAAAAAAAATGTGCAGAAACTGATTAAACGATTTGCATGCTTAGACTTGATTATGATAGAAATCGACCTAATATTTTGATAGAATTCTACTCTACACAAAACAAAAAATCGCCAAGTGCAGTTTAATTGATCGTTTAGCATGCTTATTTTGACATTCATGAGATGATATTAAATTGGTTCATCTTCACTACATATTAGGTTGCTTCGATATTGATATCTTTATTTATTTCATATCTTATTTACTTACTTATCCCCCTGACGAAAAATTCTTTTGTTACACCTTTTTTTTTTCTTTTTCTTTTTCTCGCGAATCAAATCAATCATCGTTCTTAAATTGATTTTGTTACCATTAACAATATTTGAACACATCGCCATCGTAGTGAAATTAAATATTCTGTCAAATAAACAATTGGTGGTAGATAACAAGGGGAAAAAAAGATTTACAAGAAAACGCAAACTCTCGAGCAAAAGTATGCTACCAAAGTAATACACCATTAAACAAATCAAATAAACAGTCATCTTACTTCAAACGCTAATTGGAAACAAAATCAAGAAATTAGAAATGGTGAAAATGAGAATAATGAGGGATACTCACTGTAGCCCATAATTCGATTTCCAGGAGCTTCAGCCACGTGAAAATAATCGGGCCACCGAGCCAAATAGGTCATGTAGAATGACATGTTGAACTGTAAAATTTGCAGTACGCATCAAAATTGATGTTAAATTCCATAGATTTACAATACAACCCTCCACTCCAAAAAAACTTCAATCACTTCAATTAGAATTAAAAAAAAATTAAAAATTAAAAGAACTAACAGTTTCGGTGAGATGGTCGAGATTCACTGATGCAAATCGGAGGAGATCGTTGCAGCAAAATCTTCTAATCGTCGTCATTCTTTTGTTGCTCTTCGGTACTGAAAGAGTACTTTTTGGCGCTCTCTCTCTCTCTCTCTCTCTCTCTCTCTCTCTCTCTCTTGGGTGTGTGTGTTTCGAGTTTCTACGGGGTAAAAGGGGGTTTTGTTTGATCCTCAGGGCCGGGGACGAAATCCGGATCATCCGACCCGCCTGTTTCACTATTTGGATTTTGGATCGTTTTCCTTATTCGGTACAATTTATTTCATGTTTTGAATTTCAATTTATGGAATAATTTTGAATTTTGATGATTTGCCCTAATTTTTTATTTCTAAAACCTACTAATTATAATCTATATTTTGATTTCCAACGATTCTACAAGCAATAAGTTTTGAATGTGAGATATATTGTAGGGACAAAAAAATTAAGGGTAAATTTCATTTTTTCCCTTGTACTTTGGTTCGATATTAATTGTATCGATTTGATCTATGTACTTTAAAATTTGTCTCAATATGGTCATCGCCGTTAGTTTTCACACCTTTGACGTTAACACTTTTTGACATAAGTTTAAAAATTATAAAAAGCCCACTACTTCCAGTTTAAATAATTAATAAAAAAATAACAAAAAGATAAAAAAAAATAAACTGTGGTTGGCGTCGTGGGCTATGTTTTCTCGTTATCTTGATTTTTTTATTATTTTATTTTTTGTTTTTTTAACTTTTTAATTTTTTTTTTAATAATTATTCAAACTGAGAGGGGTGAGCTTTTAGTAATTTTCAAACTTAGATCAAACGGTGTTAAGGTCAAATGTCTGAAAACTAACGGCGATGGCAACATTGAGGCAATTTTTCAAGTACAGGGGGACAAATCGATGCAATTGAGAGTAGAAGGGGGCAAAGTGATATCAAGCCAAAATATAAGGGAAAAATCAACGCAGTTGAGAGTAGAATAGGGTAAAGTGATATCGAGCCAAAATACAAGGGGGAAAATCAACGCAATTGAGAGTAGAATAGTATAAAGTGATATCGAGCCAAAATACAAGGGGCCAATTGAGAGTAGAAGGGGTTAAAGTGATATCGAGCTAAAATACAAAGGGGAAAATAGAATTTACCCAGAAATTAATTGAAAATGTTCACGAGGTGATCAACGAATTGGGTGGAAGTAATAGTTAAATTGAATTTTTTTTCGACCTTTACTATAAATCCTTCGATACTTATCATATCAGTTATCTTAAGGGTTTACTTAACCTCGACGGTTATAAGATTTTATAGATGACTTTCTTGTGCTCGTAAACTAAAGTTCTTATGGGTCATAGGAGGTAGCGTTAGGTAGTTTGACTAACATAATAATGTAAGGGTCTTTTGCTTTGACTGATCCAGTGAGATAAATTATAGGGTAAATAACATTAAACCACTTGAACTTTTAAAGTTTTTGCGGATCACCTCCTGAACATTTTTTTTTGCATGAGTTCACCTGTACTCAGTTAATTGTGTCACTTTGCCCTTTTTTGCTCATTTTCATGTTAAAATGACCGGTTATGAACCCATGTGCGTTGCACATGCGAAATCTAAGGTTATTGTTGTCTTTCCATTTAAAATCCTTAATTCCTTTGATTTTCTCTCCATTTCTCTCTTATCTCCGTTATTTTTCTTCTTCAATTAGAAAGAAATGATTCCCTCATGGGAAAAAAATGACAAAGTGTTGAGATAGTTAACCGTGGTCTATGAG